AGCAAACAGTACCTGAGTTGCATAGATCCTCTATCTGAGCAGCATGGAAAACTGAGTCCCCACTGCAGAAGTACTGTCAGTACTACCAGTACTTGAGCTTCCACCTGCATACTGTACTTTATGGCCAATGAGTTTGAATCACTGCTTCACCCAAGCCAGCAATTTTTGTCTGCGCAAAAGAGTCATGAGAAGGGCAGCACTGGAGTTATACCATGAACTAATGCTGCAGTGAAAACAGGTCCATTGTCTTATTTTCTTTATGATTTTCCCATCACACTTTACTTAAAAACAATAAGAAGTTATTTGTCTTCCTTTGTTGCTGTGAAGTGAAAAACTCATTTAAAATGAGAACTTACACAAGGAAAAAAGTGAAACTAACTATATGAACAATGCTGTCAAATATACAAATGGAACAAACAGAAACAGATTTGAAAGACAGTAATCTTATATTGTGTATTACATGACTAGGTAAAAACAGTAATGAGTGATTTTTTTTTGGTCTTTTCTTAGTTTTCATGGTGTTCTTTTAGAATGGTACTTATAAGTATAAAAGGTATATGTGAATTTAAACAAAAGGAAATGTATTTTGTTTGTCATTATCATTTTACTTGAAATGTTTTATTGTAGATGGGGTAGCATGATCCAGTATGGCAAATGTATCTACTTACATATTATATATGTGTGTGTGTGTGTGTGTGTGTGTGTGTGTGTGTGTGTATATATATATGTATATATAAAAAATCTTGGATTAACACCTGCCCATTCTACAATAAGAAAATGAGGCACTTTTATAGAACAACATAATTTGTTATGCTATTGTACTTCTTCCCTCTTTAAAACCCCTCCCCTGCTTCCACACAGCTAAAAATCTAATTCTTCTCCTCTTCCTCAACATAGTAATTTATCTGGAGGTGGAACTTGGGATTCAGCCTCCCAGCTGCATTAGAGATAAAGGCAGCGCCCAGGTTTTCTTGTTTTGGTTTGGACAGAAGAGAGCCCAGAAGAGGGAAAGCAGGATGGAGCCCAGCCCAGTATGTCTGGGCCTCGTACAGTGCTACTGAATGAAGGTCCACTCTTGAAATTAGTGTCTCCCTGCCATGCAGAAAAGTATGCAAGGCACAACATGCTAAGTCATGTTTTTCTGTAAACCTGGTGGGGGACTGAGCCTGCCCTGAAGAAAAGGGAAAGCCACTTAGGTTCTCTGCACAAGTGGATTAGCTGGGAAGTGGGGGAGGGGAAGGAAAAGGTGAGTAGAACAGTGTTGGAAAAGTTAAGCAGAGAAGAGGTGGAGGGACTTCTGCATGTTGTGAACTTGTGTATTGATCCACCGGTTGGACATACAGAATTAGAGTCTTGGGAAAAGCCCAGTAGATTGTTGGCCTAGTATTTGCCTGATAATTTTACATACTTATTAGAACAGACAAACAGCACAGTTATGTAGTAAATAGCTAAATATCTGCCACTTAGCATAAGTGTTTCAAACAATGTGACTTTTTTCTTAAGAAAATACTTTTTGTGAATATCTGTACATAATTGTGATTTCTTATGTGTTGTAGTTAATCTTGCTAGTAGCTTCAGTCCTTACCGAGAAGGCAGACTAATAGAGAAGCGCCTGAGGTCCTCTTCAGAAGGCAATGCTGGAAGCAGCAGAATGATCTTAAAACCAAAGGATGGAAACACAGAAGACCTTAATTTCTTGCAGAAGCAAAGAGCTGGCTCATCATCTTCAAAAATGAACAGCCTGGTGAGTGCAATAGCTTTCCTCAATGGCTTTCATTTCTCTATGGTGGATAGGTTTTTGCTTCTAATAACTATAGAACACAATAAGTGTACAGGAATATATAGCCTTACCCAATGCTGGGATATACAGTACAATAGAACCCTCAAAACTGTATAATACTTTTTAGACCTCTTTTAGTATAGAATGTAACCTCAGGCTGTAGTCAACACCCAAGTATTTCTGAAATCTGTGTAACTTTCCATTGTAGTTTTTTTGCAGTCATTGTGCTAGGGATTTCAGAGTAGAACTTAAAAATGTATGACCAAATGCATAGTATTACAAAAGGCAAAAAGTGGGAGAAGGGGAAAATGTAGTACAGTGTTTGTAATTGTAATTTTTTAAGGGCCTCATTCTTCAGCCGTTTTATGCTGGTGTGGCTTATTACCTCAATGACTCGTACTGCATATGCTTAATGTAATTCAGTGAAGAATCGGGCCAGAGTCCTGTGGAAAGTAAATCATGTACAGGTTGAATCTCTCTAGTAAGTTCTAGTAAATCATGTACAGGTTGAATCTCTAGTACGGCACTCTCTGGTCCGGCAACATCCGTGGTCCAGCATGATTTTAGTTAGCCGGATGTCCACTTATCATGAGTATGGCCAAGTTTCCCGTGGTCCCATGAAGTTTGTTTACAGTCACCAGTCCTGGCGCTTAGTGTTCTGTGCTGTCATTTGACTCTTAATTTACCCCTAAATGTCTTTTAAGAGCCCAGTAAGCAGTGGAAGTGTTGGTAATGTTGCTAGACAGTATTGACCTCCTGTCATTCAGCAAATTCTCTGGTTTTGCACCAGTCATGTACTGAGGGTGCTGAATTAAAGAGAATCAACCTGTATAATAAGACTAATTTCAAAGGGCTGAATGCTCTTCTTCCATACACAAATAAGTTTCAGGAGAAAAAAATTCAAACTCAGGATAGAAAAACCATGTTTTGTGTACCCCTCCTCCTCCTCTTTAGGATTAGGGAAGTTAAAAAACAAGTGTACTAAGACTGTTAGAGTAAATTACTTTTTGAGGCCTGCTTTGAGGGGAAGGCATGTTGTCTGCCTTCTTATAGACGGTGGAGGAAGAGAACTTAAGGTGAGTGTGATGTACTGTCATGCAGACTCAAGACACTAAGGGGAAGTGGAGAACATTGCACTGCATTCTGAACAAGCTGCAACAACTTCTGGTTGGTAGAAGAAATAAATAAGTCTTGTAGTCAAATAGGTTCCTGTTGCTGGTGTCATACTATGAAGAATTAAGTAAGTATTCAACCTATATCTGACATGCAGCTTGCCATGAAAAGTGTATGTGAGAGAGCAGCTCCAAGATTCTTCATCCTACACATCATTTTGGCATGTGTCCATCACTAAGCAGGGACATAAAAGGGGAAAAGTACCTTCATAATGACCACTACACTGTAGGTAGGGCCCCAGTTGGGATGCCTAGAAACATTAGAGGAGGATCAGGGTTGAACACAATCATCCTTTGAAGATAAGATTCTTTGGATTAATCCAGATAAACACCAATATGTAAAAGGGCACTACCTGCACGTTCCTTCCCCGTAGTTTACAAACAGTCATCTAAAAAATGCAACAAATAGTACAAAGCATTGAGGGCAACTCCTGTGATTTCCCCACAGCTTTCTGGCTTCTGGTTAACTTAACTCCCTTGATTCTCTTCCTTCTGAGCTGTACCAAATGAGCCTCCAACTGGGAGTGTCTCTCAGAGCTGACCCGAGGTCCTGTTTGGTAATTAACTTCTGGAACTCCAGAGGATTATCTGTCTCAGCAGAATTTTTCCTAAGAACATTGCTCAGACAGAAGGTAATGCAGATCTTAGGCACTCCGTCTGGGGGAACCCAAAGACTGGTACAGTGTCACAGTCTGTCCCATCAGGTTAGCAAACTGAATTTTCTATTTCAAAATGATAGAACAATTGTGTGCAGTGTCAGTCTTGAAAATAACCTTATTTGCGACTGACTTCTGCGCAGATTACAGTTTGTGTTGTATGTGTGTGGCAGGGGTTCTCTTGAGTGCTTGACAGAGAAAAAGAAAGTTAGTTAACTCGCAAATGGATGTTTGCCTCTACACACATTTTGTATAGCCTATACAACATTTATTAGCTAAACTTGACTTTACAAGAGCATCAAGAACTTCTCAGTGTGAATGTGCATGATTTTTTTCTCTTCTGTGGCAATCACTAACTGTTCTGATTCATTATTATTTAATTTATGTTATAGCATCTAGAAGAGAACTAGGCAAATAAAAAAAAGCTAAACAGTTTCCACATGTCTCCGTATTATCTTTTTTAGGATGTTGTCAGTTCGCACAAATGCAAAACCTATACCTACAGGAAATAGCTACTAATGCACACCAGTGAAATACTACACTTAGAGAAATATTGTAAGGTGCTAACTGGCTCGATAGCTGAAGTGATTTCTGTGCAATTAAAGAGAAGAGCTACACTAACCCCAGTAATTTACATTCAAAAAGCAATAAATCAGATTTTTTTTAAAAAGAGGACATCCTTGAATTTAAAATGTTTTTATATATCATTACAAGTGTGCATAGTTCTTTACAGATAGACTATGGAGCTTACTAATTATGGAGCCAATACTTCAAACACTGAAGCACATGCTTAACTTTCCTCTCATTGAACTGGAAGTATGCATGTGAGTAAAATTAAGCTTTTGTATAATGGTTTGCAAGATCAGGAACAAGTCATTATTTTTCAACCTATTTTTCAGGTTGGCTAGGTAGCTGATGTCTCAATGTGAGGTTTCACTTGAGTCTTGGGGCTTAGCTATGTCACTGTGTGAGGTGGCAACATCTTAGGGTGTGTCTAAACTACACCCCTCCGCTGACAGAGGATGTAGATTAGGCACATCTCTATTGCAAATGAAGCGGGGATTTAAATATACTGCACTGCATTTGACTAGAAATGGCTGCCGCTTTTTGCTGAAGCAAATTCTCTGGTTTTGCACCAGTCATGTACTGAGGGTGCTGAATTAGAGAGGATCAACCTGTATAACAAGACTAATTTCAAAGGGCTGAATGCTCTTCTTCCATACACAAATAAGTTTCAGGAGAAAAAAATTCAAACTCAGGATAGAAAAACCATGTTTTGTGTACCCCTCCTCCTCCTCTTTAGGATTAGGGAAGTTAAAAAAACAAGTGTACTAAGACTGTTAGAGTAAATTACTTTTTGAGGCCTGTTTTGAGGGGAAGGCATGTTGTCCCCTGTAAACTTCATTGCACGAGGCATAAGGGATCAGTTGGAAAAGGCTTTCCTTGTCGACCGATCCCCGTCTAGACTGCTGCTTTTTGCCGGCAAAGTGCCGCATCAGCAAAAAGCGGTGGCCATTTCTATTAAAATGAAGTGCAAAATATTTAAATCCCCACTTCATTTGCAATAGCAATGTGCCTAATCTACATCCCTCTTTCAGCAGAGGGATATAGTTTAGACACACCCCCATGTCATCTCCTTAATAAGTGAGATTTTGTTGCATTTTTTTACTTGAATAGGAAATTCAAAAATTTTTTGCAAGATCATTTGCAAATTCATTAGCGATCATTCTCTGTTCATTTACTACAATCATATATCCTGAACGTTCAGTTCAACTGAACAGTGTGTTTTATGCATTGATAACTGTGAACATGAAATACTGCAAATTGAAAATCCCCTATACAGAATGCTTAGCAGCCATTATATGTTAACACAAACATTAGCTATGATATCCTGTATAAATAATAATCTGAAGCAGCTGAAAAGCCTGAATATATAAAAATGAGAAAAGACTTCAAGAAGAAAAAAATAAACTTGTATGTTCACAATAATACACAGCTGAGCATTAAAAATGCAAGAAAGACCTCTTCAGAAAACCTGTCACAAGTAGTTAACGCTCTGGTCAAAAAATGTCAACAGAGAAATAATCTAAATGATTAATATTTTCCAAGTATAGGGAAGGGCAAATCTAAATGATTAATATTTTCCAAGTAAAGGGAAGGGCAAAAAGTTACAGAAATGGCCACTATTAAACAAAGTAGAGTTAAAATAATTAAAAATCCTCTTCACTTCTATTGAGGAATCCCAAAGTATTTTATAAATATTAATGAACAATTACAGGCCCCTTCTGGCTCCCTTAGAGTAATAAAGAAAATCACAATACTTTTATATTGTTTCAGCAAACATTAATAAGCAGTGAGAAATTTCCAATAAGAGAAATCTATCTGAAAAGAAATATCACTAATTTTATGTCTCTGTGAGAATGCCTTTGCTTCCTTAATAATAGTACCATTGCTTTTCCATTCTCTTCTGTGGAGCGAAATGATAACTACAGCTATCAATTTCTTGACATTATACAGAATTGATGAAGCTTTATAGCTAGTAGGATAGCCTTTTCACACAATACAAAGGAAGCCCTGGAAGGCCATTTTAGTTGTTGTCAGTGACAATTTTGTGTTATTCTGATGGCTAGTTAAATGTCAAAAAAACTGACAAAGTGCTAGAGACTATGAAGAGAAGGTAGAAGTAGCTACATGGATGAAGAACAAAGTTACTCTCTTGGAAATTTGTTTTTTTTTAAACAGCTATCCAATTGAATTATTTTTGCACGAATATCAAGGCTTTTCTAAAGGGCTCCGGCTACAAATTTGGACATCTGTTAAATTTTTTGCACGAATATCAAGGCTTTTCTAAAGGGCTCTGGCTACAAATTTGGACATCTGTGTCTCTTGAATGTTGTAGGCTTGTGCACTTTCACCCTTTACATTGCTAGGGTAGAATACATTAAAATGTGGGATAGCAAAAGAAAATAGATATTTTTTCTTTGTAAAGGAAAAGACAGTAAGACTATTTTAAAACAGTCAGTTATTTTATGCAAATGTTTAAGTTATTCTGCAATAGAAATGATGCACTACAGCAGAAATTTTAACTCTATTGTGAGACATATATAACTGTGAGTTTTGAATAAGCATTATTTTT